TTGCAGCTCCCAGTGAAAGTGCAAAGGGTGAGTGGACGCCGCATTTTTATTGCCCACAGACTAGGCAATACCCAGGTGGAGGAGCTCCACAGGTCGCCAGCGTGGCTGTTTCGGCCAGCGCTGCTGTGCTGGCCGGCATCGCTGCTTTGCCCCACGCGGCTGCTTTGTTGGCACCCCAGAGCAGCGGTTCTCCGTACAAAATACACCAGTCCGGGTGCCCTTTTGGCTGGTGATTGGAGCCACAGGAAGTCACCCATTCATCTGTTTAAAAAGGGGACTGTGCAGGGAACCAGGACAGTTGATTCCAGGGCAAAGAAAGCGCCACAAATCTCAGTGCCGCTATTTAAGCCAGCACAGTGAGTCGCCGCCCAGCCAGTGCCTCTTCAACAGGCAACTGGAGCACCAACTTAAAAAAAAAAAAAGACTCTGAGGCAGGGAGCCAGGCGATCAGGCTCGGCTGGTCCCACCCCCACAAAAGAACAGCAACCAGAAACTCTCTGGATTGAGAGTTTCACAGCAAGCGCAGCTGAACCTTGGACTGTCCAGCTCTGTGGGGGAGGGGCGTCCGCCATTACCAAGGCAGCCCACCACTATGGAGGTAGTCAGCCAATTCTGAGAAAGCCCACCATTGCCAAGGCAACCCACCACTGCAGAGAGGCTCCGCCTTAAAAGAGGCAGGCCACCATTGCCGAGGCAGTTCTAACTACACCCATATAAACAGGACTGCAGGGAAGTACACTCGGCAGCTGGGCGGAGCCCACAGCAGCTCAGCAAAGCCTCCACAGGCAGACAGTGACTAGGCTGCCTCCTTGCTGGGCAGAGCAGCTCTGAAGGGAAAAAAAAAGAAGGCAGCAGCATAACGGAAACTCATAAAGCCCTAAATCTCTGGGACAGAGCACCTGGGAACAAAAAGCAGTTTATGAGTTCTGCTGCAGCAGACCTAAACGTACAAACCCAGCAGCTCTGAATGAACAACGGAGCTCGCAGGTCAGCATTTGAGCTCCTATAAAGAAGAGACCGTCTCCTCAAGCAGCTCCCTGACCCCTGTATATCCAAAGAGCCACCTAATAAAGGAGAGATCAGATTGACACTTGGCGGGTATCCTTCTGGGACAAAGTTAGCAGAAGAAGAAAACTGGTAACAACCCTTACTGTTCAGCAGCTGCTGCAGGTGTTCCCCAGGCAAGCAGGGTCTGGAGTG